GCTTAAGAAGTTCAATTCCATTAAAACTGAGGTTACAGTTAGAGGAGATGATACATCAGACTGCATTATCACCGAAAGGTAAAAGGTGCCGCTAATGTTTTGTCCAGTTCCTGGTAAAATCATGAGTGCAACAGAATATAAAAAAAAAAGAGGAATAGCTATGGCATTAGTCTGGACTATATTTGCTAACTCCTCTCTTCTCCCTCTCGTTCATGTCCTGTTCAGTTTAATGAGAGGAGGGAGGTGACACTGTTTAACAAAACAAGTTCTTGGAGGCATCTGTAATCTCCTTTGGTGTGAAACAGCAGTACACTGCATGGGCCAGCGCAGACAGGAATGCAGCATTTGGACAGGCCGTGTTTGTGAAGACGAGGGCCTAGCATTTGTGCAGATTTATGAGTAAACAAGCAGGAGAGAGAAAGAATTTGCTGCCCATAGACACCACAGTCAGCAAAGAGGATTGCAGCAGTCAGTATTGGAAAGCAGCCGTATCTGGGCCACTGCATGTTCCTGAAACCCAAGCCTGGTTTCACTGGTTGTCGTTTGACAATACACTCTGTTTTGTAACCAGTGTGTGGAATATTAATCGGTAACATATCACACAAACAAGCTATGTGCTGCTGGTCTGCTCTTTCAAATTAAAACATCTGTTAATCACTATTAATCAAACTAATTGAGAACTGTTCAGACAAAACACAAAGAGACATCTATGTGGATGCTGGCACAATGTCTAACCTCTGAACTTAGACGACCTTCTGTTATCAGTGCAGATAAAGGGGGCATTTGGCAGACACATTACCTCAGATCTGGCAACAAACTATATTTCCTTTAAACTGATGGAGCCTGGATGTTGGTGATGTGCTGCCATATGGAGGACAACTGACCTCTTACCTAGATTAAAGGCCTGGCTGGTGTGATGAAGGCATCCCTGGGGAGCTAGCTCATTCTCAAAATGAATCATTCTCTGCTCTGGTGTGGATCACAAAAGGTTTAACCCACAATCAGTAACAGCTGAAGGGGATAAAAGACAAAACACTGCTGTTTCTATACTTTAAAACTATATAAATGCAAAGAAAAAGAGACAAGAAAAATGAGAACAGCTAAAGTCTGGTGCATTTTATTTTGATAAATGTACCACAGAACATTTGCCATGACTTCTTCTTTGGTTTTCTGTCATTTATAACCTTGTACATCAGGGTATTAAACCACAAACACTTTTCACAGTAACCCACAAATTTAAGTCCAATTTAATAGAGAATTTCAACATTGTTTTGGTTTGCCCAAAATAAATGACAAGCACAGTCACCGTCTCCTGACTTTCCTCAACCTTCTGCAGACACACGAGATGACGATCCAAACCTCAGGCAGAGCAAGTGCCTCGGATTTCATCTTACACAACAAGGGATCAGATCAGACTGATACCAAGACCGCAGGGCGGGCTGGTTTCACTCTACTGTGTTCTCTTTAGGGATTACTCAAGGCTTCCAGAGGTGGTTTCCTTTCAGAATAGTGTCCCAGTTGTTTCCAGGCACAAAATCTACAGTGCATGCAGCGTTACTGTCACAAATGCTAGGTACACTAGTGCATCCATACTTAACCAGAGAATACATATTTAATATTTCAGGCCAGATTGGTACCAGACCAACACTGCTCAGTTTATGATCATTTACAATAATTTATAATATTCATTCAACAGAAGACGGTGCCGTGAATTCCAGAGGCCAAGGTGGCCAACAAAAATGAACTGTAACAGAAAGTGCACTTGTAGCTGGCAGTGCTCACACAAAAGCCTCATTATTCTATAACAGTGCAGTGTGATTAAACCCTTCACAAATACAAATAAGATCAGATCTAACTGGTGTTAGTTGTGAAAGAGGTTCAAAGTGCTGTAGTGCACCGTCAGGAGTCCAGGCTGAAGCCAGGACGGCGCCCCAGACAGACAATTCTGATACGTCTTTAAAAGACACTGACAGATGTGAAGAGGATGATGAAACAGAGGTTGAAGCTGTTGAGGTAGACTGATTTGCATGTTGAGCGACAGCAGAGACTAGAAGAAAAGGCCACGTGCAGTCGCTGCCTACCACCACATCTGGCAGTTAACATTCCTGCAGTTCACACGCTCACCAGGATCACAGATAAAAAACAGCTCCTACAGATTTTGAAGGGGCAAGGCAGCAGGAAAGAAGCAATGAGGAGATGAAGAAGAGGAGGAGGAGTGCACCAGAAAAAGGCTGACCTCAGACCTGTGTGTTCTGAGTGTTGCCACAGCTGTATCGGGTTCGGCAGAACACAAGTCTCTTCAACGGACGTTATCTGCACCGACAAGGAAGACAGCAGAGGGAAAAGGCCTCTGTCTTAACAACCTCCTTGTGTGCAATATGAAATACAATTAGTTTGGCACATGCTTAAAGTTCATTTGTTTGTATGGTTCAGATATATACAGTATAGCTTGTTAATCAGTGAGTGGGTTTTGATAACTTTGGACAGATAGCATTTCTCCCTGCATCCAGTGTCAATGCTAAGCTAAGCTAACCATCTCTTAGCTGAGTAATAAAATTAATATTTGTGATTTGAGTAGACTCGGCCCTCAATACCAGTCCGATGGCCTTGTTTTCCTCATTTATTCCTGGGTGGAGCGACTAGCTGTAATTCTAAACTGGATCACTGCATGACATCTGTGATAATAAACCAGCTGTTTGAAGGAGATAACGTTTACCAACAGCATTATTCCTTTTTTAAATCCCTGAACTAACTCTAGTATACTAATATTGTTCTTGGGTGGAGCGCTGACACAGAATGCTGCTATGTGAGCGCTCTCACTGTCCAAGACAAAACTCTAACAGGGTTACCAGCAGCTAACACCTGCGTTGCAAAACAAATAGTGGGGTTTTATGAAAATCAGCCATCACAAACACAGCCATGACTGTTACAGGACTGTGGCATGCTTTATGATCTGAGGTCAATAAGGTTAATGATTAAACATCATTATGCTGAGAGGATAAAATCAGCCACTGATTCCAGTCACGGAGTATGTCAGAGCTTTCGGCAAATATAAGCAGCGAATCTCAGCCTTGCTCAAAGCATTCCTTGTCACTGTGGAGATATTCTGCATTGACAAACTTTATTACCGATAAATGCAAACAACCTTGAACCACTTCTTGGCAATAAAAGCTATTCTGCCACATTGCGTATAACTAAGAGGCATGATTCTGGAAGGAAGCTTTCACAAAAACATGGTAGTGATTGCAGGGCCCAGAGTAACATGGAATGAAGATGAATATCGAAAGTTCAGGAGCAGGACCACACCCCTGCCACCTGCCTATGAATGCTTCTGTTCTCTACCTGCAGAGTGCTTTCGTTTTTCATAATACCCTCCCACCCTTCCCATCTATCTTGTCTTTTTCTGTACCTCTTATCTTCCTTTCTAAGATTTTCCCTGCTTCCCATGGGGGATCTGCGATTCATTGCTTCAAAAGGTATTTAGCTACCAGGCCCAGACTGAATCTGCACCTACAGAATTCCAACGACAACGATTCAATGATTTTGAAAAGAAAGTAGACACTCAGAGTATAGGCACGTGTTTGCACAACAGCTGTGATGTCATGAATGTTTTTCAGTTATTTTCCAAGCCAAGGTTCTGACATTCACATCTACTTCACGCCTTGGCTGGCTAGGTGCACGTCTCTGTCCAGCGCTTCTTTTTCTTTCCTTACACAACAATCTGTGACACTTCATGTGTGAACAACCCAGGTTAACGTCTATTAACAAAGATATCGTCTCCTGACGAGATTGTCTGAAAACGTGCACTGTTATCCTCACCCCCCACCCCCTTCCTTTTTTACGCGGTGGTCGGTCAGTAGCCCACGTCTAAAGAAACTAAACTGAGCATCTTGAAATGTGAATGAAATACACAAATTCTCAAATGTAAAAGTTCATAAAGAAATTTCTTTCACCCTGCTCAAGATTATTTTTGTGCTTACTTTTGCTCAAAGTTTAAGACATAATATTAATAGTACTTTTTATACTCTATAATTAGTTAGTTTACACATTGTAAACAGTAATATTAGAGCTTCTGATATGAAAAAAATAGCTACTCTTAAATATAAGCTCACTGATACATGTTCAGACTGGATTATAAAATGTTATACTTCTATGGCTGCAATATGTATCTATGTCTTCAGTTATATTTTGAATTACTTAATAATGTGACCAGTATACAGGCTAAGCACCTGGATAATGATTTATAAATGATTTCTCTAATTATTTCTCTCCACCCCCTTCTCTTTACACACCTGTTTGCATAGACTGTAAAACTCCATCAGCATTTGTTAAGAGCCAGAGAGTGTGGTAGTATGTGAGTGTGAGTTTGTGTGTGTCTGGGTGAGTGGGAGGTCAAGGAGGTGGAGCAAATAACTTCAAATATTGTTAGCGAACGCTCTGAACAAATATTCCTCTGAGACTGTGTGTGTGTGTGTGTGTCTGGGTGATGAAGAGAGATGCTGGAGGCAAAAACTGACCCACCCTCATCCATAACAAAATAAAGATTGAGAAGCGAGCTGAGTCTGTTCCCATTAGAAGGCACCTTGTGTATTATTCCTGAAGCTTTTGCAACACTTTCTCATTGTAGCTGCTGCTTGCTTCAACAGTAAGATGCTACAGACAGAATTCCACTTGTTATAAAGTTAGTACTGATGATTATAGCTAAACATTTGGGTTCAGTTCAGCCCAGTGTGGCCTGGTGGGTGGAAAAGGTTATGCAGTATTTTTGTTATTTTAAATGAAGAGCTGATTTGGACAAGCAATGAAAATATGAAGGATGAGGAATGAAAACAGATGGGAGGTTGAGGATGTATCCAAACATCTGTGTTGATTATGGACATATCATCATCATCATCATAATATTTTTCTTACTTGTTATTTCCCTTTAATGGGGTTTACATCCATTAGGGCATCAGAGAAACTCAACACACACTGAAACTACTCACGGGAGAGTTCATTACCTTTCTGTAGATGAATAATGTCTGGGAAGTTAGCCAGCAGGCCTTGGTAGAGTGACAGCTTGTCCAGCATATGGAAGAGGTCGTACTTAGGTTGCTCTGCAAACAACTCTCCAATGTTCTCATAGGTGCGGCCAGTATGGGAGATGGCGCTGTTGAGGGCTTCTGAGCTGTGGGGAGGGTCCAGCATGAAGGCCTGGCTGATAGACTGGAAGGCATTTCCCAGCCGCTGGAACTCCTTCCTGAACCCACCCAGGTGTTTACGCACCAGCTCAGAGGCAACATGCATGAGCTGCATCACACTGTCATCCATTTTCTTAGCAAAGGCCTTGAAGGTGTCGACCCGCTCCTCTACATCCTGAAGGTCCTGGTGCTCTTTAGGGAACTGGAGGGTCAGCATGAAATGAGCACCCACCATCTCGTCCTTCTCTGCCCTTCTCTTGCCCAGTTTCCACTGTTTGTCATCAGCACACATCAGAAAGTGCTCAAAGCCTTCATACTGGGAGAGGACTGGATGGCTGGTCATGTGGTTCATCCATAGTATCAATCGCCTCTTACGCTTCTCGATGAAATCTTCCTCAAATCGCCCCGTCGCCTGCTTCTCAGGCAGGTGAGGCACAGAGATCACAGTGAACTTGTGCAGTAAGCGGTTGTACAGCCAGTCAAAGTGTTTGTAACGCCTGTAAACGGGACGCCCTGTGTGGCTCGGTGTGACTCGGTATGAAATGTATGTCTTGATGCCCTTGAACTTTGTCTGTTTTGTGGGGTCTTCAATGGAGCAGGAGAAAGGCTGCGGGCTCTCCTTCCACTGAGGCCCTACGGAACCCATCTCGATGGTGTATGACTCTGCTATCTTTGCCATCATCGGTACATCACCCAGCACAAATGCTTCCACTCCTGAGCGAACAAAGCTCGAAAATCGGTTCAAGTTCCTGCCCACCATGCTGCCTTTCCTGGAGCTGGAGATGCTGTCCTGCCTCTCCATGTGAGGTTTGGCCCGGTAGTGCACATTGGGGTTGTTAGACATTGGGCTCTGATGGGCATGTCCATTGGCCCCCGGGCTGCTAGTGTGGTCAGCATCCTCCACCACTGTGGACCTGTCATCCCAGTCATCCCAGTCATCATCATCTTCGTCATCATAGTAAGACTGCTGCAAATGAGAAGGGCTGTTTTGGGTTGAGGGGAAGTAGGAGGCCTTTCCTAAAGAGCTTGGTGGGCTGATGGAGGAGTCAGTCATGTTAGAGTTTGACCGAGTGCGAATAATTTCCACATAGGATGCTGGGAAGAGACCCCTCTCCCCTCGACTGTTCTCCCCCTGAAACCAGCCGTCCACTGAGTTCTCATCAAAGATAACCAGTTCCTCATTCTCCTGAATACTGATCTCCTCTTTGTTTTCACTTAGAAAAGTGTAGATGGCTTTGGCTTTCACTGACATCTTGATACTCCAGTGGGTCCTAAACCAGAAAACTCAAATGCACATAGTGCCTGCATTAGCCTATATTAATGCCACTGTCTTGATGCATGCTGATACTAGCGCACTGCAATATTTAAACTCATCTCAAATTACATGGCAGTTGTTGGATCAAGTGTGCAAAAGCACAATTTGACCTATAAATCTAAGTGGACACAAAAGAAGCCAACAAAACTATCAGTATCTACTACTATCCTCTAAAAAAGTCTAGTATCCTCAGCCCATTGAGGCTCTGTTGTCTTATTCTCTAATGTGCTTTTAAAAAATCTAAAAAATAACTTTAGACTATAAAGGCTCTATAACATATTAGGTCCCTCATAACAAAATGACTCTCTACCTCTTCAACACACCTCACTAGCACATCAGGTTAAAAAAACAAAACTGGGTTCACCGAAAAGCTCTTCTAAAAGCACAGGCGTCGGTTTTAGTTCCCAGAAACTGGAGTGCAACCTCGCCTTGATCACTTATCCAACACTTGTTTCTCATTACGGAGCCAAAAAATGATCCTTGATGGCAGTATTTCCAAGGCAAAGTGGCCTGGCGTGAAGAAAAACAAAGGGTTGAGTAATGGTATCCCGGCGCATTGTGAGCCCGGTGCTCTCACACTCAAACTTGCTGCGTTTTCCTTGTAAACAGGTTCCTGCGCATCTTCAGTCGATCCCTTAAAATCACAAAAAAGCAGAATCGGAAACCAAACAATCTGCTTCTACGAGATGTCAACACACATCGAGGTCCAGTGTTATTTCTCTGGGTTCATTCCTGTGTACGCTGCAACAAAGTAACTCTTTCCATGACGTTAGGCTTGGACAATTGAATGCAAGTTCTCCTTTTCTGTTTTTTTCATCAGCCCCTTTATATTCCGTGAAAGAGGAGAAAGTGGCACAATACCGCCCCCAAGCGGAGTAACAGAGTATTACTCACAGCACCGGCTGCAACACACAATCCGGCTTTAAGATGGTGACTATAAATAGAAACTATAGCTAACTATAGTTACCACTATTCATGTAATACTTTAGCCTTGAGAACTTGATTTCAATTTATTCAAACTGATTTTTTGTGAAATCTGCTATTTTAAAGGTATGTATACTTACTGTATATTCTTAACAAATAGTTTTAAAGAATAACATTACAATATATCCTTATAATAATATCATTTTCAATTTGAAATGTGTTTGTAAAGAATTCTATTTAACAATGTACAAATATTTTTTGTTGGGTACCTATTTCCACCCTCCCTCTTATTACTACATCCTTTTGTGTACCGGTATTTGTGTGACGTGAAAACTCCGGGATAGTTTGCTGTTGTTTGTTGGCCAACTAAATATCGCCAGTGGAAGGATGTGACATCATCGTGACGTTTCAGCAGTAGCGGCCTCCCTTCAGTCTCCAAGGTAGTCTAGCTCTCTAACTTATTTAATATTATATGCAGAAACCTCCTGTCCAGTGGTTAATTTGGATCTGACAATTTATGTTAACTAGTAGAAATTAACACTGTAGAATCGGTTTTGCTAACCGCCCCACAGTATGCTAGAAGTTTAGCATGATGCTAGCTGTGATGGTAGGTAGCTAATGATAACTGACAGGATAGAACAATCGTCCCCATTTGTCATGTTAAGGACTCCTATTAAATCCCTACTAGATGAGGTTAGTCACCCGTTTGAGAAGATGTTTGTCGTCTGTGTGTATTAGCTACCTGTGCGAACATTTTGGTGATGTGTGTGGCACGTCTTGTCCAACAGTCAACGTTATATAAGGTCTCTGCGAGTCAGAGCACGTTGGACTTGCACACAAACATGAACATGAGTGCCAGCATGCAAATGTCAAACAGATGTTAACTGGCAAAAGACTGAACTGCCAGAATATAGAATACTTGTAGTAAAATGGTCGGTACAGCGTTGCCTCACATGCTTGCACATCGTTCTTCTGAGTAGGTTACAGGTGATCTAGCAAGCAGTTCTACAGTAAATCCTGCAAGCAGCTTTCAAAGATTATGAATTATCTTTGGCACTAATAATTCAACAGTTCGTCAGCCCTATGCAAATGTCAATCAGAACAGCACTCCCAGCAGTTTCCATGAAGGAGGGGGCTGTTTCAGAAATAGGGGCATAATAAGCTTATATAACCATTGTTTTGTATTGATTTGCAGAACCCCCATGGATGACCTGACCCAAGCCCTCTCGGCCAGCTTTGCTGTGTCCAAGGAGCCCAACAGTACAGCAGCCCCCCACCCTCGACTGGCTCAGTACAAGAGCAAGTACAGTGTGCTGGAGCAGAGTGAGCGACGGCGGCATTTCCTTGAGTTGCAGAAAAGGTAAATGTCTTAAATATTTAGTGTTTGTCTAGTCCAAATGGTGCATGTTTTGCTACATTGTACTCAGTTTCCATGATTATCATATATTTATTTATTTGAGATATAAAATAATAATACAACAGGCTGGATTTCTATCTATTGATAAGTGGTGATAACCACTGCATTTACAAAATGCACTGGAGACCTTTTTCATGGCCCTTCACATCTGCTTTGTAGTGTTTCCAGCTGCACACTAACAACTAGTACACCTGTCATCTACACTGCAGCCACAATAATGCTCAGTTCTACAAAGCTCTTAAATATAATGACATTTTGTTATATTATATGTAAATCTGTTGCTGACTGTTTTTTAATGTCGTATCTGCTGCTGTTGGTCATTTGCACTGCTGTCCATGTACATTTCATAAGCTATTATGCATCTCATCACCAATGCCCCTGGTGATGCTGACCACCTGACAATCTTCTTCTTATTATTTGCACTACTGTCACTGTTTGCACATGGTTTTGAGTTTAGTGAATTGACAATAAAATATCTTAGATCTTGATCGCTTTGATTATATGGTTTCAGTTCAGGAGGCTGCCATTTCAGTGCATGTGTTTATGTTGTGAGTGACTGGTAAGCTCTGTGTTCCTAAACTGTACGGATGTTTTCCATTTTAATATGATGTCACAGCAAAAGTGTTTGAATGAGCCTTTTTTTTGCATTATACTCTAAATCTCAGCAAAAGATTGAACTATGTCAACCATGCACGGCGTCTGGCTAACGGGGACTGGACGGGGGCAGACAGCGATGGGGAGGACATGGAGAAACAGGAGGAGGGACAGGAGCAAGATGGCAACACAGGAGAAGAGGGAATGGAGATTGAGAGGAGGAAACTGCCAAAACATTATGCAAACCAGGTCAGGCTTTGTATTATGACTATGTGTGAAGGACAGCAGATTACTCATGTACTGGTACCTTTTTTGCTGCATTCTCCATTTTGTCCAGCAGAGGGCTGCTAATTTCTAGAATTGCTGTTTGCCACTAGGCCTTGAAATAAATCTAACTCAGGTTTGTACATTCTTGCTGAATGCCAGCAGAGTTTTCCATTATCATTTTTGGACTCTCTGATACAACCATTGATGTTATTAAAATGCTGTTTAAGAACAAAGCTCTTCCTCTTCCCCCGCAGCTCATGCTGTCAGAGTGGCTGGTGGATGTGCCACCAGAACTGGTCACTGATTGGTTAATGGTGGTCTGCCCGGTGGGGAAAAGGTCTCTCATTGTTGCCTCCAAGGTAGGGACCTGTCACTGCTCCTGCAGTAAAATTCAATCATTCAAAAAGGAAAGATAATTATTATAAGGCACCGTGTTGATAATAGGTCATATGCATTAGTGTCAGTTAAGAGATTTTGTGAGTTTCTTTTAATCAGCTTTTGAATTAATTTCCATCTCTGCTGATTTTGATGTGTCATCTTCCAACTTACTGAAAGTCTTACCAGGTTCCAAATTTGATCAACTTGACAACAGCAGTTAGGATCTAATCTAATTCGAATGCACTGTCACAGCTTAGCTGAATCATTGTTTTGATAGGGAAGATGAGGAACGTGAGCCATTTTGTCTGAGCAGCTCAACACAAAATTAATGTGTGAGAACAGGAAAAACTGCAACGGAGACAGGTGTAAATCTGAACACTGTAAAGATGTTGATTTGTGAACCATGTCAATCATAAGATGTGCAGTCACTATGTGAACCGGCTTTATCAAAAGCTCCATACAGTATACAGCCAGACACGCTTACAAGAACGGGATGAAACGGGATCATCAAAAAAGAGACGGATCGCCAGCTCTTGGTGAAAATAGGAACGTGAAAGCTTTTAGTTGTGTAATATTTTACTAATTTTCTTCACTGAAGTACATTAGCTAAAAGACCATGCGTATCAGATCTTAAGCTGTAGTGTCTGTAGCAATGATTTCCAAATGGGGCTGCAAGGAAACGATACACTTGGGTGTAAAAGCTGAATAACAACTAGAAAGCTTTATAAAACATTTATGCTGAAAATGGATTGGCAGATCAGAAAAATGCCCTTGACGTTGGCACAGTCTGTGCTGCAACTTTCCTCATCTCTGTCAAGCTGACAGCAGCATGCTACTGATTTTGAACTGAAGTAGGTCATCAGTACACAAGGTAATCGGTCCATCACCTACTTAGCAACTTGATCTGTCTGTGCTGTGTTGGTATTGCTGTATTGCTAATATGAGTAAATAACAACAACAGCTTGAGAAAGAGCTTGAGAGTTGATTTAGCAGAGATTAACTACTCTGTGTATGTGTGCGTTAATATTGTAACGCCAGCTGGGAAGAATGGTCAGGAGACCAGAGCTTGTCTTTCATTGTCATACACACACAGTAACAGAACACACACTGAACAAGTCCTACCAAGTCCAAACTATATACCTGCCCAGAGGGGCATTCTGGGAGACCCCGCCAAGAGACTCTCTCCTCTGGCATTGAGTTTCGACAGGTGCTGCTCCATCCCAATGCTATCATATTTGTTATCCAAATATTTGATTTTTATATTTTGGTTGTGTTTCCTGAACCGCCCCACCTGCAGTTTTATGAAAATAGAAACTGCTTGCTATGCAAAAAATGGGAACCTGTAATTTACAGAAAGCCGGGAGCATGGATTTACACCTGGCACCATCTTATGAGTTGTTGGAAACAGAAAATCTAAATTTGGGAGACAGATTGGAGCCAGGGTGAAGTTAAATGGAGACAGGTGAGTGGCTGTCAACAGAGCTCTGTACTGAATCATGAGAAACCTGTCAGTTTAATAAAACACACCCCAGATGGACAGTCCTCTCTTTAAACCTCAAGAGCCTTGACAGTATTTTCAAGATATAAATTAGAATAAGTGAGATTAGTTGTCAGTAACTTGTGAAAACTGACTTTCTTGTATCATCACGTCATCACGACCACGTTTTTCTGTTTTACATTACATTGTGTGAGTGTTGTGGTTTCTGAGTACTGAAAGCTTGATGCTTCTCAAGAAGTGATTACTGGTAACTGGTAGAACATGGCTGTCCTGTCACACTGGCTACAGACCACAGCTTTCCACTCTTTGCACACACAAGCCTTTGTTGTAACGGTGCCACTGACATTCCATACCCTGTGATGTAACGATGTATCATATCATAATGACTGCACCTCTCATGGTTCTTATTCATTATTTCAGACCTGTGAAACACCAACGCTCTTTACAAAGTGAGAGCTGAAGGTTCTTTGGTTTCTGGTGCTTGAGGAAAACTGAATGAGACATGTTTGATCTGAGCTTTCTCACTGATTTGTCAGACGTTAGTCAGGGTGACATGTTTAGCTTTTTATCTCTCCTACGTTCCTGTGTAGCTCTGTGGGAGCTGTGTGTCACTAACGCCGATGCCAGTGCCCCCCCCCAATTAGAACATATACATAAATTACGATGTAGTTCAGTTAGGCCTGGGCAATAATTCAGGAGTCCTTGATACTTTTAGTAGGATCATTTTGTTATTATTTTACTAAATTCAGTTCTTTATATTCATGATATCAAGTAAATTATAAATAAAAACATGCACAGTGAGTCATTACACTTTGGGTTTACAAAGGTGAACACTTTTTTCTGATGTATTTGATAATAGTGGAATCTCATTTTGATTATTTTATGTGATTATTGCCAATATATTTGAGTATTTTCTGTGCAGATTTAGCCAGATCATCAATACCTCAGTATGGTAAAGAGAAGACATCAAATTATCCAATGTTCTCTCTTCGTTTCTGGCCCTTTTTTTGTAATCGACAACAGAAATACATACACAATATATTTCAAACTCAGTATAAAAGCTAAATTGACTGAAGCCTGCTGTGGAGACTAGCTAACATTCTGATGTATCATCTCTATTTCTGACTTTCTGTTTTATGTTTTTTTAAGGGTTCCACTGCAGCGTACACTAAAAGCGGCTACTGTGTGAACCGGTTCCCTTCCCTGCTGCCCGGTGGGAACCGACACAACTCTGCCATGGGAAAAGGTAGATGGGCCTGTTGTATCTTGAGCCCACAAAAAAAATTGAACTTTTAAGAACACAAAAAGGTGTTTTACCAACAACAGGCCCTCCTGTTTGGCTGCCATTCACCTGCCATTTATGTCAGTTTTAAAATTCTAGCTTCTGGCTTTGTACAATACAGTAATAATCATAGACAATGCTTTTAAACTGATTAAATTCCACCCAAGCTTTGTACAAAGTTGTAGAACTTTATTTTTAAATTCTATTGGAGAGCCCAGAGTTTCCAAATGTAATTATGAGTGAAGACACTTTTACAGTCCATCCATTATCTATACCACTCATTCCTGAATAGGGTCACAGGGGGGCTGGAGCCAGTCCCAGCTGACACAGGGCGAGAGGCAGGACAGGTCGCCAGTCTATCACAGGGCACATGTTTAGAGTCTTGAAACTAAATATGAGGAAAACTGGACATCAAAATCTGAATTAGAGATCTAACTAAAACAACTAGTAAATAGTTAATATTGTCACCACTAAGTAGTTTTCCTTTTTTGTGTGTGTGTGATTTGTGAACAAGGTTCAGTTTTTGTTCTAAAACATCATACAGGGCCTACAAGTGATTTCATAGAGCTCCATAATCTATCAGGCATCCTGCAAATGTCGTGCATTTTGTGCTATGTGATAGTGAACATATTTTATTGCTTTTCATTTATTTAGTAAGAGTAAGATTATGAGTTATTTTGAAGGCGTTTCATACAACAGAATTCTCTATGTATGTAAATTGCCACATGCAGACTACACAATCCTGGACTGCATTTACAGTGAAGTGGACAGAACGTACTACATCCTGGACGTCATGTGCTGGAGAGGCCACCCGGTCTACGACTGCCCAGTAAGACTTGTCTAATTGCTTAAGTGGCAAAGTCTGGGCCACAGATGTGCATTTTTTTTGCCCATCTCATTGGTTTGGGACTTGAAATAGGAGTTTTTCTTAGAGTGCTTGCTTTCTCATCAACAGACCGAATTTCGTTTCTACTGGCTTCAGTCCAAAGTTCATGAAACAGAAAGCCTATCAGAGATCACCAAACGCAACCCAGTGAGTACCAGCACCAGGAACAGAACCTTTGCACTTCAGTTTTCTGTACTTAGAAATGATGCTTGAGACACTGTAACATGTTTATTGAACCACAGGTTTTCTGCACTTTGTGTTTGTTGTGTTTTATGCCTTCCTGCACCTTACTTCCTATCATATGGGATAAATAAAGTCCAGAACTTGAACCTCAAACTCCTCAGGGGGAAAATGAAAAAAAGGAAATTAAAGGCAGACCCACATTACCATTTTAGGACTAATTGTTCTTACTGCACGCAAAGATTATAGTGCTTTGAGGAATCCTGAGTAAACTTTGAGTTCAGGGTCCACCTCTTAATCATGCATACTTGTGTGTGTGGCACGGCCCAGCAGGAGCTAAATAAGGCTCACCACTGGAAAGAAAATTCTCACATTTGACAAGAAGACAAATTGTGTTTGGAACTAACAGCGCGGTTGTCTGGTCCAACAGTTCCGGTTTGTGAGCCTCCAAACCACCGACTGCACAGAAGCATCGATTCACAAAGCCCTGGCAGCTGAGTACAGCTTCAGTGTAAGAACAGGTCTTCAGACCCTCAGCTGTTTTCTGCAAACACCCCACTCTGCTGTTGTGCACACTACAAGTAGTGTTAGAGTCAGATAAGTGCTAGAAATGCATCACAACCTTTTTTCAAGGAAATTATTTTCTTTTTGTGACTGATTTCATTCTGAATTTCGGGCTGCAGGTAGATGGTCTCCTTTTCTACCACCGGCAGACCCACTACACTCCGGGCACCACCCCTCTGGTGGGCTGGCTTCGGCCCTACATGGTCACTGACATCTTGGGAATAGAGGTTCCCATGGGACCCCTCACCACCAAGCCTGTGTATGCCAGCCACCAGCTGCAGCAGATCCGGGAACACAAAAAAACCTCAAGTGATGTTCGCCCAGCCAACAGCAGCGGAGGCTATGAGTTAGAGTACTTGTCCACGCTGAGTGGGGACACTGGGGACTCTCCGAACTTCTTGAAGCAAAAGCCGTTAAGAGAAGCACACATGGATATCTGAGCAGGAGGCTTAATGAGATGCAGTGTTTCTGAGTGGTGGTGGCCCACTTATATGGCTCTTTAGAGTGTGTACTGAATGGCTGTGCAGATCTGACCAATAGCAAAGCATGGCTAATTGTAATCCAGCAGTGCTCAGGATGCCCTCAGAGTGCAGATTAGTGGAGCTATGCTCTATATATGGTTCTACTTTGACTAAAAACTTTCATCTTCCATTTACATCTACAGTACCCGCTGCAGGACTTGGAAACCATTAGTTTCCTTGAGAATAAGGAGCCATGTGCGATAACAAAAGAAGAGATGAAAGGTGACTTTTGTGACACATACTGCAAAGTTAAGATATTTTGCTGCTCTGGAATTGTTTGCACTTAAAACAGATCTTTACTGTTGCAAGTCCTTTGCAGGTTTTCCATAGCTTTCACTGACACCTACACATCAAAAAATGCAGGATGTTTGACCAGTACACCAGTTGGAGCAACACTAATGGAGAGTTTTGGATGGTGAGGTGTTGCTGACTGGTCAGACCCTGTGAATTGAGATCATACTGAACAGCAGGAGCGTCATGGCCTTTTACAATTTCATGTTAAATCTAAGATTGCTGAGAAGGTATTTTAAAGTGTACGTTTCTAAATAAAAGTTTTTTTTTTTAATGAACTACCATTCTGTTCACTGTGTTCCTGTGGGTTGTTGAATTTGGGGATTTTTGTTGAAAAGTCTGAAGTATTTTAAAATCAAATCAGTTTTCTAGAAGAGAGATTTTTATTTTCACTTACTAACAGAAAGACTTTGTGACATCCTCATTTAATTGGATTCTGATAGTTTCTCACCATTTGTTTTATAGACGCAATTAAAGGTATGAACCCATTCTCAAAAATATAAAGTTTAGGGAATGTACATGTTACACTTAAGTCTTTTATAAGTAGTTAGGTTTCAGGTACATGTGAAATACTGTTGGTTTTGTGATGAATCTGAACCAATGTAGACTTCAGACTCATTTTATCTTTGCAAACTGTATTGTTGTAGATTTACATTTAAAATGATGAAACTAATCATGACAAAAACGTTTTTAGTATTTTCTGCAAATTTATGAAACATCAAAAACTAAATGCTCTCATTTATAAAGGTATTCAGACTCTTTGTTATGGCACTGCAGTCTGTGGCCAGGTGCATCCTGTTTGCTTTATTTCCTTTGGGACATATCTAGAACTTGACTAGAGTCCTCCTGTTGCAAACTAAATTAGAGAAGCATGCTGCTGCGTATAAGGTCTCACAATTCACTGCAGGACAAAAACCAAACCGTGAACTCTGTAGACCTCCTAATAAAATGTTGGCAAGGCTATAAAACCATTTCTAAAGCTTGGAGTGTTTCGAGGTGAACACTAGCCTCAATGAAAATTGAAGAAGTGTTGAACCACCAGCACTCTTCTGGGCAAGAAGGGCCTTGGCAAGGGAGGTGACCAGAGCTTCAAGTGCTCTGTAGACAAGACAATACTGGAGTGGCTTCAGGGCAAATCTGTCCCTGAATGACCCAGTCAGAGCCCAGTCTTAATCCCACAGAGCATCTGTGGACAGACCTGAAGATTACCGTTCGCAGACACCAGCGGGAAGAATGGGATAAACTGCCCAAATTCAGGTATCCAGAGCTTTTACAGGCTCACCCAAGAAGACTTGAAATGTAATTGCAGCCAAAGGGGCTTCTACAAAGTACTTCACTAAGGGTCTGCATACTTTGGGAAATTAGATATTTCAAGTTTTGGTTTTTTAAAAATTAGCAAAAAAATGTCTAAAACATGTTTTACTCTTATCGAGAGTCATTGAGTTAAGATCGATGGGTTAAATGGTAATGTATCCATTTAAAATTAAATATGCAACACAGTAAGGTGTGCAAACAGTGAAGGGCTCTGAATCATTTATGAAGCCACTGAATAACAGAGTTAAGATGAGAAAAGGTCAAATCTAAGACTCTGCCATACACACACCTTATATCTGACTACATGATCTGTCAACATAACTGCAAGTAGCTGGTGTTCCAGTGTATAATAAGCTGTGACTAATACTGCTGATACCAGTGCACATCAGCAGAATTCACGAGCTTCTCCGCCCCTCTGTGTACCACTGGCGCTGTTTGCGTGACTGTGAAGAGCTGAGTGGAAACTGTCAACAGGAAAAGACAACAGTGAAGTGTCTGAGGTTGTGAACTTGGTTTCAATGGCCTATGCCATCACATCCTATGAGAAAGAACACCAAATATCATTACCTTAGGTTACTAGATCTTGGCTGTATGAAGTATTTTATAATATCTTAGGAAGGAAGGTAACCCAATTTTCCTTTTGCTTCCATGTTCTTAGGTAAAGTTCCTCGGGTCCGCCGGGGCTCAAACCCGGAACCTTCTGGCTGTGAGGTGACAGCGCTAATCACTGCACCACCATGCTCCCTTCAAATTATATTAAAATTGCTAAACTAAGATGGTGAAAATGGTAAACACACCTGCTTACTATCTTCATTTAGCATTGCCAGTGCGACCATAAATCATGCTGACATGAACATTTAGCTCAAAGCAACACTGCTCCAAAGTACAACCTCAAAGAGCTGCCAGCTCGCTGGCTGTAGTCTTGTTTAAATTTAGAGTATTTTAACATTTAGTTCTTCATTTCAAGAAATATTTTGTGTCTCAGACAGATTAGAAGACCACATTTCAGGACACATTATCAATGGACTTTAACTTTTAAGCTACACAGTACAAGGCTTTGTGTTTGACCATGTACTTCACTGGAACAACAGAAAAAATGATGTGGCTATATCATGCAGTTAAAAGACATGTTGTGCCTTGTGTTTGTGCCACTAGTCACTTTTTCAGCACTGGAAAAAAACCCACTTATTTCCTCCTTTTCTTGCTCTTGCGATGGTATCACCACCTACAGGGAACACCAGCAGGTGAAAGTAATAGGTTCACAACCTTTCTGTGGAGATTTTTCTAACTCATTCTGGGAAACATACACCACAATTACAAAACCTGTCTCCACATATAATAATTCAGCACCAAACATCAGTGACTCACAATCTATAACAATAATCGATAAGGGGTTTTTTTGGCTTTTTGGTGGCATTTCATTTCTAACTAAATATAGACAATGAAAACAATGTTATGTAGCACGGTAACAGCATGATGTGTCTCGTGATAGACCATGTTCAAACTAGAAAACACAACATGAGCAACATTTCCACATGATTTTAGTAACAATCTCTTATTGTCTCACTGCAGCAGTGGTCAAAATGGTCTTATACTTGTATAGCGCCTTTCCATGCTTTTACAGCACACTCAAAGCGCTTTCACATTATTCGGCCATTCACCCATTCGCTCTCCCAAGCACTCACACACCGGTGACATCACCGGGAGCAACTGGGGGTTTTTAGTGTCTTGCTCAAGGACACCTCGACATGTTGACTGGACAAGCTGGGAATCAAACCGCTAATCCTCCAGTTAGGAAACGACCCGCTCTACCTCCTGAGCCACAGCCACCCCGCAAACACCAGATTTCTGGTGGACGAGCGTCCAAATGGTATTCACAAGATGTGTGATGAAAGCAGTTTATCGACTACAATCAGATGTTTTTTCTTTTGCATTCAGTCATGTCTAAACCGAGAGACGTGAGGCCTGCAGAATCAGGCATGTGGTTACTGCAAGAATTGTGCTATTAGTCAGCAGCACCGATCACTTTCCAGGAACTGAGCACCTGTCAGTAACACTTTACACAGCACTTTCCCACACATACACATACTCACGCATACAGTGTTGCTTACTGCAGGCCTCTGTGAGCTCTATGAAAACCTTGCCACAAGACTTCTAGGGAGGGAAGCAGACTTGTTTTGCACCTGACACTCTCAGACACAGGCTGTTTAATCCCCATGGTTGACCCAAGTTCTCAGTATTAACGTCTGAAATGAAAAAAGATGCATGCTGGTTTGTGGAACCACAGGCTGCAGCCAGGATTGAACTAAAACCGAGGTCAAATTAAAATCCCCAGTTAAACCACTGAACCCCCTGTAAAGATACTGGTCTTGTCAACAAAACATGATTATTTAAATGTTTCAAAAAATATTTTAGTAAATAGTTTAATGCGGGAAATATTTTTACTTGCTTTCTCGCCAAGAGTGAGCTGACAACACCGATGCCACATTTATGTTTGATAAATATGATGCTACTGCAGAGGATAGTCTGAATGAGTGACACAGCCTGGCACGCAGGAGAGTCTGCCCCAGCACCTCTAAAGTTCCCAAATTAACACGTTATATCTCATTTGTTTAATCGATACTTCTAGAAAATGTTGTGATTTTATGGATTACAAATAAGTTTTGGTACAATTCAAACAAACAAGACACAACATGTTAAATACTGAGCTTTAGAGCTGCTCTTTGGCAGCAGTTTGTCACCTTGTGGTTTGTTATTTCCCCATTTGCAGGCCTAAAATAACAAGCTGCTGGGTGGAGCCTCCTATTTAACATAGAGATGTGAGAGTCTTATTAATCTACTCATCTAACTCTTGGCAAAAAAAGCAAATAACGTTAATATATTTTAAGTGTAATTTTGCAGAATAACAGCCACATTTAAAAATGTTTACTCTTAAAAAAACAACATCAGAACCAGGCTTCAAATCCCACCATATATAATATGGTCTGCAATGTTTTGATCAGTACATCTGGGATTCTAATAAAAATCCAGATAAATGTGTTATTCATACAGCATTTGCATGAATATTAATTCTTTTAGAGTTTATATATGGGCTCCTGAGGGGATCATGTTAACCCAGAGGCCTCTACACGGTGGACATGGAGTAAACTGACCTTTGTAGAAATGAAATACCTCCCTCTCCAGCTTTCACTGAGCAGTGCAGTGAGTTCAGCCAGACTTTCATCTAGTAAATGTTTAATGTACTCAAAAACTTTTTCTTTGCTGGGGCTGACATTACATGGGCAGGGTTTACCAATCACATTTTCCCCAATGACTTGATGTCAGCTGGTTTCACAGGAAGTCTATTGTTGTCCACTCCCTTTTCCCTTTGGTTTTCAAGCCAGTTTCTCACGCCTCATTATTTACACTTCACCTATTGTGGGATTTTGTTTTTTGTGGGGAAAACAAAACAAACAAACAGCAAATGAATGTACCCAGTCTGAGAAACACTAGCTTACCTGTCTCAAAAAGACCTCCCTTCTTTATCTCCAGAAGCTTAACACAACATCAAGAAATCTTTCCATCCTCTCACACACTCCAACTTCGTTTTGCATCACATTAGTTTTACAGTCCCATTAAAAACACATCAAGGTAACACATCAATAATCCTGCAGGAAATGCAATCTCCTGACTGCACTTGAACTAATCTCCCTGCTGAAATACTGTAAATCAGCAGCCTGTAATATTTGGAGGGAGACCTGCAGTGTGTCTATGGGTCATATTACAGTGACTTTATTGCATGGGTAATTTCTATTTCCTATGATGTCATGCAATTCCTGTAAAGTGTACTGGTTTATAATGTAGTGTGGGGGGTGTATGAGTTGAGAGTTTCACTAATTAAATTGTTATTCTTGCCAGCAAGAGGGCCTGCTCCTATTATTAGTTATTTCCTCTCACTTGATTTCATACATTAGTAATATTCAATAATTGTCTGTCGATACTGTAGACTACACCTACGGTAGAGCTAATGCAAAGATGTGCACAAAACAGCACAGTATATCTCTAATATAGGCTACAGCTGTTTCTTTATATTTATGCTTCTCAGCTAAACCTTGGCAAAAAAGGAAATATGTTTCCCAACATGTCAAACTCAAAGTGCAGAGGATGCATTTGAAAATAGTTTCCCAATGTAAAACTCTACATACACCATTCAGATTCCCAGGAGGCTCCTGTCTTTCAGAGTCCTTCAAGGGCCTCCAGATGCAAACCCACACACAAACTCTTGATTTTCCTGTTTAGCTTCTTATTTTTATGAATGAAGGCGGAGGTCAGTGAGCTTTTGTCATTTTCTGGTATTTACCACCAGGGGGTAGAGGAACGTGCAGAAAGAAAAGCTTCCAATCTCTCACTGTTCAGGGCTGTGTGCGTGTCTCTCTCTCTCTCTCACACACACAACATAAAGGCGACGTTCAGAGCTAAAAACTTGCAATTCATGGCATGGAGGAGTCCGCGGGCAGTTGCAGTCCGCAGATCTGTGTAAGGTTCGGTGGATGAGCTGCTTATCATGGTCTGAACCTTGTCTGTCATTCAGCCGAAGCCTCGTCTAGCTGCTCGACTGTTGCCCTGCTGGGTTTTTTTCCCCCTTCTCGGTGAAATCGAACACAACATTAGCGTCTTTCTCTCTGCTTTGGAAAGCAGATTCAGGCTGACTGGCCTGCGTGTTCTGCACTTTAAAGAGAAAAGAAACATTTCGCTCAAACTGCAGCGTTTCTGATGCCTTCAAGTTTGAGCGAGAGGGACAACCCCTGAACCCCGTTTTTTACACGAGGGACAGACACACAGACATCTCCGTCATCTTCCACTTCATGAAAAGGACGCGTCTCGGTAAAAGGTAATCGGAGACCTGACGGGGACCATGGCAGCCACATTATCGGCGGAGGAAGAACAGGTAGGCCTTAGGAACCGAGTTTACACTTTACTCCTTTCTGTGTTAAACTGCCCAAAATGTCTCGGCCCTACCTGGATGCAGGCTATTTTGTCCCTGCTCACTGCGTGTGCGCACCGCAGCGAGTGGCGATGGCAGTGCGCAATGGTGGATTTGTTGCGAAATGGACCTGAATGCAGAGCGGAAATATTGTATCGATTTCTGGCGCATTATTGCTCCCGTTGCATCACTGTCAGTTCCTCTCCAGCGGCTGTGCTGAGCTGTTGCGAAACAGGCCGAGCTCGCCTTTATCCGCTCCACAGATGTAAAATAATTCATTTCGTGTTGTTCATTCGTGGGCACCGACCGTGTTATTACACCGGGAAACGCTATCCGCTTCCACATTTGGCTGACGAAGTGTTTACAGTAGAAACTTGGCCTATAGTGTCGTGCTCGTAACAGAGAAGGAAAACTGGTTAGGCTGTAACAGACCTGTATATTATAATGCAAATATATTCACAAACTCAAACCAATATGAAGATGAGAAATGCACCTTTTCCTTGATTTTTAACAGAACTTCTATCAAACCTAAAATTAGATTGCTTGTACTTACTTTATTGTGAAACATTTTGTAGGAACCTATTAAATTGTTGTTTAAAACAGATAGAGACCAAAATAAAACTCATTCTTTATAGATTTCATATTGTTAAAAATAAAATAGCCATGTTATCTCACCGCTGACCTGTTCTGGGCCTAGAGCTGCATTATGTTTGTTTTATGCTGCATGAACTTATAGGCCCCAAAGAGGATCAGCTGCACTTGAAGTGAATGAAACTTATAGGTTCAGTAAGGTAAATCTGAATAGCTGAGCTCATATAATTTATTCAGCTTTAAATATGCAGCCTTTTATGGGAAGATTTGTTGCTTTTCTTTGATTTATACGATAGTAAACTTAATATCTTTAAAGCTTTGGAGAGTTGCTCATAGAAAACTAGCTATTTTAAACATCACCTCAGGCTTAAGAGACATTGTAATTGACATTTTGTGCTGTTTACTGGCCAAACAGTCAAGAACATATTTATAGAGAACAGCTACTGTGAGGGAATAACAATACATTTGCACTAGCAATACTTTGAAATTGTGTTTTTCCAAGTCTTCTTCTTCTTTGGTGCTAATTATGCGCATGCCTTCCCTCTGACTCCTCTCATGGTCTGACCAGCAGAAAGTCTTATCTGGCTATTCCATTTTCTGTGTGAGCCAGGGCCCCCACTAGGGGACCGGATGCCCTCATTACATTCACAGCCTCATGGAGGGGGAACTCTCTGGGGAGTGTACAGGGATGTAGCAGAACTTTATTCTAAAGGCAGCTGTTAAAAGCATTTCCACTAGACTCAGGGAAAGGGGGCGTTTATAAGTTACAGAGTGTATACGTGTGTCTATCATGTGCTTTAGGGAAAGTGTGTGTGTTGGTGTGCGTGCTGTCTATACTCCCAGGAAGTGGTGGAGTGATGGAAAGTGGGGAATAGGGAGGTAGTGACGGTATTGACTTCCTGTTTTGGTATTGACTCGTGCTAAATGGCACTCGCTGAAGTGAAGTGAAGCTGTTTGGCAACAGTGATCCTATATTTATAAATTGATTAGCATGGCATTGGTATTCACATATATTCTGAAAAGACAATGTCATGAACAGCCATGAACCCTCTTAAAACAATGATAAAGAAACAAACACATGCTACTTTCCATAGCCCTCCTTCAGCTGAAACATTAATACAGTCTCCAACTAAAGTATGACTCCTTCTGGCTGGAATGTGAATACAATACACAGTGCGTAATACTGAGACAGTTCCTGTAACAAGGGATCATGATGCAATAAAAAAAAATAAATCCAATTTGGGGATACCAGTAAGTCAGCATGCACATTACCATGATCTGGAGGAGAACCTGAAAAAGTAGTGATGGGCAATTTGTACACTATAAAATCATCGCTCCCAGCACAGCAGATTCCTACTGGGGTGAAGACAGTCACTTAGTTATCAACAGTCGCTGTCAACACCACCAGTGGACAGTCCTGACCACAGTCAGGATTATTAATTTATAACATCAACTATATATTGGAAGCCATAATGGAGACAGCTTAAATGTCTCACTCAGCATTTTAGCTTGACAACGTGAGAACATCAAGACAGCTGGACCAGTGATGATGGAAGTAATAAGGACTTATATATCAAACAAATTAACTCTGTACTTTCAGGGACCTCTCACTATATTTACATCCATGTCAGATAGTATAAACCAGAAATAAGTGTTTTAAATGAATACTCAAGAGCTTGGAGGAAAAGAGCTCCTGCTAAATCAGAACTGGAGCAAGTCAAGCAAATATTTATGCATCCTCCAGGAATTGAATAAGTCACTCCTCCACACTGAGTCTTCCACTGCAGTGTGGTGTGCTATCGTGAAAACAAACTGGTTCATCCTCAAATTCCACTCTGGCGGATGTGGCCCCTAGTGCAGAAAAACCAAACAAGACTGGCTTCTCCAGGAACAGAGGGCCACTGCCTGGACTTGGCAGGCTGTCCTTAAAAGGTTAAGAGAGACAGAGAGAGAGAGAGCAGCTGTCAGACCACTGAAATCTTGGAGACCCAAGTGTACCTGACAGCAATCTGACAGGAAGTTGTCTTTGGCCAACACTGAAGGATTAACATTTCACAGTGCAACACCAAAGAGCAGATGGCCCACATTAGATGGAACTTGTGGACTTTCAGTGTCATGTACTTTACATCAAACATGATTTTCTTGTAACAAGTGCAATCTAATACATCCAGAAAAAAACCCTCTGCTCTCCTGCATGCCTTTTTATAATTTCATCAAATTCTTTTTGTGAAGTACTTTGACATTTTATAAATTATATTCCTGTCATGGTTTATTTGTCTGTAAATATTTTGCAGTGAGACAAATCAGCTCTAAGACCTTACAGTATATTCGCATGTCTTTTTTCTGTTCTTCTTGTTTTTACTAAGTTAATGTTTGATTTTGCAGAAAATCTTAACTTCACCTGCCAGTGTCAACAATTGCCTGAAGCCTAGAGTCATCATATTTATTGATTTCCTCTAAATAAATGGCACCAACTTTGCACAAGCACTGTGCTCCCTAGATGCTAAAAAAAAAAAAATATTAAGCACAACTAGTGACCCCATGGAAAATGGAAAGACATGACACAAAAGCATTTAAATGCAAAATAGCTTTGACAAAGAAAGCTGTGAGATGCAGTTGAAAGCTCCTTAATTCTACCGAATGACCAATTAGAGTATTTTACACAAACTGCTCCCAGGATTCAAAATTGAACTTGGTTGCTAATACTGAGCAAAGATAGTGGGCACCTTCAAATAAAAAGTACTGCAGGTTTCTAATTGGACCTATCCTGTCATGGTTTTAACAGTAAAAAGTGGAAGTTTATAATGTGGTGTTCATAGCTCACCCGTGAGGTCTGAAACATTTATTAGTCTTTCAACAGTCACTATTTTACATATATTTATTTTTCTATTTTTTTATTTTCTCTTCGAAATCTTTGAGCTCCATTCTCTATTCTGAAAAATAATTCACAATCGCAGCCTTCCACATTTTTCCCCATGAGAACTGAGAACCAAGCTCAGCCCTGTCAGGTGCAGTCACCCCTCATCCCTTGCATGTTAAGGCATCTGCACAGAGCAGAAGCTGCAGGCCCTCCTGTCTGTGAAAGCACTCGTTTTCTTGAGGAGAGACAGTGCCATCCTGTCTTCAGGCTCAGTGATCGTTTTGTATTCCTAAAGAGCTGCAGACTCCCACAACTTGACTTCCTGTCTCCCGTGCATGCCCCACCCCTGCTGTGCCTGACCAGAGAAGCGGAACCCTGTGTTTAAAGTGTGAGCTTTCATTGTCTCCTCTTTTGCCTTTTGAGGATTCACTGGGTGCTGACTCGTTAACTCTGCGGGTGCTCAGGGTAAGTTGGGGTGGGGGCCTGAGGGAGGGTATAATAAAAGCAGAGGGGAGGACAGGAAGCTTCTGAAAGACTGCTAGCTAAACGCATAAGTTATTTCCAAGATGGCTGGAAGGCTATAATGGTTAATGCATTTTCCAGCTTAAAAGTGCAGTGTATGATATGAACTGGTTATTTCTAGATTCAAACCAATATGCTGCACAGCAGATTAACTACGGAGCCTGGGAAGGGACATAAGAGAGGGAAAAAAAACTGATGTTGCAATATTTTTGCAAGTATTGCATGATCTTGCAAAGTGAACCATTGTTTATTTTGGGGGGGCAAACATTGTGTTTAAAAAGTGTAGGGGAAAAAACACATTTTGAAAGCTAGCCAACATTTCTCTAATTAAGTACCATTAAGTAGTAAGTACCATTAATACTAAAGTTGCTATGTTAAGTATCCTTACACTAACAGTGGATCACGTTGTACACATGAAAGTGTCACCTGTAGTGATGAAACCACAGAGAACTGTCATCTAGCTCAGTAATTCCCCTCTACAGTTGTTTGAGGTATGCTACCATTTACTGTTTTGGTTTTGAAGCCCCCAACTTAAGAGTTTGGGTCCAGGCTAACCTCTCTAATAGCATCGTCTATGACCACAGCAGGCATCTGCTTTCAGCTAAAAAGCTCCAAAAACCTACTGTATGCTACCTGTCCAGTGCTGAACAGCAGCCAGGCCAAGTTAGCAACTACCCGCTGAACATATCGGAGCATTTTGCAGCTTAAAAGCCACTAAGAAATCTAAAAGGAGAGTGAACATTATTTGTCAGGAAACCTAACTGACATTTCAACATTCAAGATGTTTAAAATTTCAATAATGTGTTCTTAGCTTTTTTTTTATTCTT